TATCTGTGCTAAGCCTACTGCTCATTAATTTCATTGAGTGCCCACAAGTTCTTGTATTGTTGTACTGTGAGAGAGGGAGAAAAGTACTTCTTTCGCTACCTTCTCTATCCCATGCATAATTTTGTAAATATCTCTGCTTCCACACAAGAATTTTTGTTACTGCTGTAAATGCACTGGCAGTGAAGTAGCCACACTACAGTTTTCTCTGCACTTTCCTTGCCTCAGCCTCTCATGACTGCCACCACCACCCCTACACAACTGATAGGCTTTGGGGTCTTTTTGGACTTCTTGGTTGGTCATGCTCTCAACCTGACCTACTTCAAAGGGCTGTTATTGAGATAAAGTGGGAGGGATTCTATGGCACATAAAGCTCCTTGGAAAAAACATGGAATCAAACACATAGATAGGTAGAAGCAGGCTTAATTTTCAGTGTCACTGGGAGCAAGCATGCCCCTTTAATTTTTTCCTCATAAAAGTAAATGGTTGCCACTCACAGTACTATTTTTTAGTTATATACTACAGCACCACCAATATGCTTGGCACTTGACAGAATACAAGACAACAGGTCTTTGCTATGATGGGCTTACAGTTTAAAATTTGAAACACAGTAGATAGTAAAAGCAGACAGAGGCAGGGATAAATAAGGGAAGATAATTAATTTCATCCTTGCACATGTAAGTGCGCACACACTGACACACACCAGTGGACACCAGGGTTTCCCAATGTAGTGCTGTCATGGCTCAGGTGGGGTGTCACCTGACGCTGCCACCACTCTGGTTCCAGGCTCTTCTGAGAAGGCCCAGAGCACCTTCCCAGGCCTTTAGACCTCCCTTTTGGCTGAATAATAGGTGTGAGAACCAGGCAGAGTGAACAATAAAAATAGTTTATTTTATAAGAGGTCAAACAAGCAAGGTGCAGAAATATAACAGTAAGTGGGTGAAAAGTAAAGAAATCAAATGCCCTAACGCGTCTAAATAGATACTGTCCCTAGCTCACCATTCCAAGTGGCACTAGACTACTCACCCTTCCCTCAGGATGAGAGTCTCTTCCCTGAGCAGCCTTCCTTCTGGCTCTGCCCTCTGGGAATAACAGCTTTTCCTGCTGCACCAGATCTTTTATTCCAAGCCCTCCTCTTTTCCTATTGGTCAATTTTGGCTCCAAAACCTCTCAGGGGCTTCTGGGAGTTGTAGGCCCAGCCTCACCCTACTGCTAGCCAGGCTCCCTAGGCCTAGTAGGCCTCTGGTGGCACAGCCCAGATCATGACAAGTGCCTACCAGTACCTCCCCTAGCACCCACCAAGCTTCTCAGAAAGTGGGCAGGGCCACTGTAAGTAAGGTTGCCAGGTCCCCCCTGGCCACGAGGGGAAACAGGGTTCCCAGATCCAGGTCAGGAAACTCCTGGAGATTTTGGGGATGGCGCCTGGGGAGGGGAACTTATCTCCATCGTCTGGAGATGAGCTGTAATTCCAAGTGACCCCCAGGTCCCACTTGGAGACTGTCATCCCTAACTGTAAGGCAGGCCTGGGTTTTGGCTGTCCCCGCTCAAATGAAAGGGGTCTGGAAACAGCAGTTAGTGCAATAGCAGCAGCCAGTGAAGGATCAGGAAGACTGTTAAGCACATGGGCTTCCCCCAGTAAGTGTGTGATTCTGCTCCCCCTTCATGCAGGAAGACACCAACACATGTGTCATGTGATATGCTTCTTCTCACCTGGCCCACTTAGCAGCAGCCATTGTTGTTTTCTCACTGCCCCTCTGGTCTGCCCACCCCTGCAGAAACCAAGCAAGTACTTAGTCAAAGAACCCCAGCACTGGGTGCAGCTTCCCTCTGTTCCTCTCGGGAAAAGTCTGCCCAGTGATGCAGGCTGAGAGCAGCCCCTTCTTTGGGTGGGGGGTCTGCTCTGAGCTCCCTCTAAAGTGGAACACTGGCCAAATGTTATGGTGAATTTGTTTAACTATTTTGATAAGCATGCTCTGCTGGACTGAAGTACACCAGTTAATTACTGTGCTGAGACAAATGCCTGGGATTTCATTCTGTGACTCGGGAAGGGCTCTTTGTTGCAATAATACCTCTGATCTGCTGGACTTTCTCCATTTTGCCAGAAAGCATCAACTTTCCCCATCTACTGGGCATGCCTGCCTGCCAAGGAACCCCATCACTCGAAGGCAGGCAGCTGGATGGGAGCTAATTCAGCCTGTCCTTCTCCCCTCGAAGAACTCAGCAGCAGGGAATGAACATGGAGCAGCACTTTAGGATTAATCTGGAGTAAGAAAAAGACTTGGAAGTAGAAGGGGGGGATGGCATTGGCCAGAAAAGAAACTATTTCCAGACTGCAGCTGTTGCTGGTGGCCTGCTCTTGCCAGAAGATTGAGGCATGAAATGAACAGTCCCAAAGTCTGAAGTGGATACAAGGAAACCCTCATGATTTGAGTGTGTGTGTGTGTGTGTGGTCTCCTGGCAAGGGGTTGTAGGATTTCCATGTTCTGTGCTTTTCCCTTCTCTCCTGGCATTGCTCTGTGACTTCAATGGCAGCCTGACCCACAGAAAAGGAACAGAGGGAAGCTATAGCTATGACTGCCTCTTAGTTGCATGGGGGGAAAAAACCAGAAGAGTCCAGGGGCATCATAAAGACTCATAGGCTGAGTGAGTGAATGCATCAGAATAAGCCTGTTCTTTAAAGTCAACTGAAGCTGTTTATGTTGTGTTATTATCGTTTGCCATTCCCCACTTTCAAAGTCTGTCATGCCAACTTATGAGACCCCTTCACACATGTGAGGAAAACTGCGGAAACAATTGCCAGACCTGATTAACACAAGAAAGAGACTCTCTTTGCAGCAGCAATGGTGAGTGGGGGGAGGGGAGGGGCGAATGCTGTGATAGGGGTCATCAAGAAAGGTACTGAGAATAGAACTGTTAATAATGTAAAAACCCCATACATCTCTATGGCATGGTCTCACTTGAAATACCATGTACAATTCTAGTTGCTGCATTTCAAAAAGACTAGTGAAGAAGCCAGGAAAAGTACAGAAAGGGACATCCAAAAAGACCATAGAGTGATTAAAATGATCAGTAAGGAGGGGTAGATTCCTGAGGGAGGCGTTGGTAGGCATGGGAGGGGTGAGAGTTTCATGTGGGACAGAAAGTGAGAGGAAATTCATGAGAATAAATCTTAGTATGTTTTATTCTCTCTCTCTCTGTGTCTCTCTCCTGGCATTTTTAGATGATTTTAGATATTTATGATATTTATTATTATGTTTTTATGATGTTAGCCGCCCTGAGCATGCCTTGGCGGGGAGGGTGGGGTACAAATTTAAGCAAATAAATAAAATAAATACATTTTAAAACAAAAAAAGCACTGATACCAATGCAAACTCACACCGAAAACACAGATACAGAAACACAGCTATAAAACCCCCTACAACTTCGTATCTTCCTTTTCAGCTTTCATATTATGCCATTCACATGACAGTCTATTCACATGTGGATTTTTCTTGGTTTTTCTACTAAAGTTGGATGTCTGTGCATCATTAAAATTGGTTCTAAGGAAAAAGAACTATATGTACTAGAAAATAGTGTTGAGAAATGGACTAATTTATGGTTTTATATCTGCTTACACACGCAACACATGGACTGTGCACACACCTGTATACCATAGGCCTAGAGGAAGCTGTTTGCATCACCCACTGTGAGAGATTTCACATAGGGAACACTTGCCTGCATTTCATGTTAATGTAGCTTGCACACATTCAGCTCAAAGCCTTATGGGAAGAAGAAGCACATGTTAGCCATTGTGGGCAGAGGCAACAACCAAGAAGAAGAAATTCCCCCATTGCTGAAGACATTAGATGTCACACAGAACATGGACCTGATCTGCATCTGAATTGCCATTTCCTGTTGATGGTGCCTTGTCCGCCTGGTAAAGCCAAGATTCATCTGCACATCAAGGAGGGCACAGGAAGCCGAGACTTCACACCTGGCCAGATGGTGGTCCATGAGATAGTGTATAGTTTCAAATATCGCCCAACCCATAGATTACCTGCCTCTATCTACATGCACCAATGAGGGAGGTCATGGGATGGACTTGTAAGTAGGTGGGATTACAGTTTGGTAAGGTGCCACCCACCTGGAGATTCAACTGTAAAAGTAAAGACCAAACGTTAGGTCTTTGCTAGCCACATCCCTTCTCAACGTCCTCTGTCTTTTTTACTACTCCTAAGATTCAGCTTTCTATCAAACAATCCCTTTGTCTCTTGGACTGCAGCCAAAGAGGTCCATACTTTGCTGGCTGGTTCTAGCAAGTGTGATTTAGTTAACACCCCTAGGTATTACTTTCTTCCCCTATCTTACATTGCATCAGACAAGACTTCAGGAGCAGGCAAGTATAAATCGATACCTACCTACCTCCAAGTAAATGAGAAACTATCTTGATATCTTTCTGTAACTCTAAAGGAAACTTGATTGTATGCGAATGAGAGACTGATTTTGTGTGTATGTGATTTTGATATTGCTCAGTAAAAAGACAATTTGTTTTGGAAAAACACCAGTCTTGTCTCCATCACTGGTACTCTCTGGAGCTGGCAGAACCTCCGTAAACACTGGCAAGGACTCACGTTAAATTTAGTTAGCCATCTGCTGTAAATAAAGCGATTGGCGTAACAATGGATATGCAAGGATATAACTTTAGTAAAACCATTTATTAGGCATTTTCTCAGACACATCTATGCCAGTGAGAAATTAGTAACTTTCAATCAAAAAAGACAGTAGTAATAGATTAATTGAACAGAAAGCTAAACCAAATTCCTTGGATTTAAACTTTTTTAGTACAATTTCCTACCTTCAAATGGCTTCTTGATTGGTCTGCCTGAGATAACTGACCTGTTTCAAACAGATGTACTTGGTATGAGAAAGCCATGTTCATTTTTAGTTAAATTACAATGTTATTTGCACCTTGAACTTGAGAATGAATATCATCTACATAGCGAGCATTATTGTACATACTTTACCTGAACATCATTGGCCTTCATCCTTGTTCCCTCCTTTCCAACAAAGATGTCATCTATGTCAACAAGAATATATCTATCCAAGGACAATGTAAGTCTGTTTCCAGACAGGAAGCAAACAGCATCTATAAAGATGAGTTTGTGCAGCCAGAAGTTCAAATTATTGCCAAAAAGAATACGTTGAATCCCATCATGAATTCCCATGTCATGAACTACGGTTGAAAGGAGAGCACCTTTAATGATAGGCGGAGAGAGATTTTCAGGAGCTTTTACTTTTGCCAATATAACAGGTTGGTAGGCTGAATGATTTATGTGAAAGACTGTCCAGTCATTTCCAGGCAAAGGACCTTTATCAAACTTAGATGGTTTAGTCACATGGAGAAGTGGAGAATGAGGATTGATGCAACAGTCCTTGATACCCACATTGCCATGGATATGGAAAGGAAAACCTTTTAACTGAGAAGTCTGCAAAGTGTTCTCACTACTCTTATGGAATCCAATCACACCTACACCAAATTCTCCACAGTATTTATCTAGAAGGCCTCGATTCCAGGAATCCATATTAACATATTTAAAAATATTTTCATATATAACAAGAATGTATTTGCCTTTGTTTTTATCTATAAGCACAGGAAGGTCGCCTTTTCCAGAAGCAATCTCTATATGATACTGGAATCTGCTGGACTCTAAAATCATTATTATATCTTGACCAAGTGTTGAGTACTGGCTTTCCACAAACACCAGCACCACAGGATCAGTCCGAGTAGGGTCACTGGACTTAACTGTCTTCCACTGCGCTAATTTGTTGAGAGGCAGCACTGGAAGGTCTACACATTCCGCCTCTGAAGACATCTCCGAAAGCTCATTTTCCTGTTTGTAGCCGCTGTACAAATAGTATGCTGAAATGACAATGCTCACCATACAAAAAGTGGCCAGCAATATAACTGTTCGTTGAAAATGTCTATGAAGTTTCACAATAAAAGTCATGGTGTAAGTCATGCCTTAGATTGCTTCCAAGTGCAGCAACATTTAGATTAAGGAAGGTGGTTAAAATTCCAGTCCAGTTTAGTAGTTTATGTCACCATCGCAGCGCATGTATCTGTCTTCATCACAATTTATAGAAAATATATGCTGGAAGAAAACAAAAAGAATGAAGAGATTTTAAAATGTATTAAAATTAATACAAATTATGGCAAGCAGGTTTTAGAAACAGCTTTTGGCCAAATCAACTCATAACTATAATGGCCTTTGTACAACTGCAGAAGTATGATTTAGTTCCCATTTCAAAACCTGTCATTTTAAAACATAATAATTCCGAGCTGACATTAATCCAAATGGATTCCAATCTATAAGCAACTACTTACCTGCAAGAACTGGTGGCCCAGAAGTGTATGCTCATCAAAGGACACAACCACTCACATGAACACATGAAGCTACCTTATACCAAATCAGACCATTGGTCCATCAAGGTCAGTATAAGGACAGCAGCTCTCCAGGGTATCAATCATGTCCCTGGGGCCCAGATGAGCACCATGATTTGTACGGGACACACATCCAAATAGACACTGGTTATGCACACAGAAGGCTCCCCCCCTGATAGAATGGGACATGTGTCTTAAGTGAAGCTTCACAGCCTACATTTTATGGTAATATGACTCACACTGTGATCTCAGTTTTATTACTAGTAGCATAAAGAGGCTACCCTTAACAGTGGGAGGTTCACAAAGTGAAAATACTTCTTTTAGGAATCACAAGAGATTGTTCTGGAATTATTAATGGGGAATTCATATTGTTGTGAATATCGATCACTTTAAAAGTATTGCAGTATGTATTATTTATCAGTACTATGTGTCAAGCTGGCTCTAAGCAGTTCAGCCTGATCCAGGAAGGGAGGATATAAAGGGAGGACGCACCCAGCTAACTACCTATGCAACAAAGCAGGCCCAAACCAGCATTGTGAAGAGATTTGGACATTCTTTGTTGACTGCAGCAGGGGGAAAAATCAAAAGCCTGTAATACAGTAAACAGCTACATTTTTGAGACTCAGGTTACCACCCTAAACCTACTCACTGAATTCTATTTATCTAATAAAGAGATTTTTATACTGCCTCTCCAAAGTACTCTTAAAGGTGGCTTAGAAATAAATCCTTTGGTTTACTAGCATAGAAACAAAAGCAGCCATTAAAACAAGACCACAGACAGAAGCTGACTATAAAAAAGGTTGTTTTGTCACCTTCTGGGCATGGAATAGCAGTCACTGGGTGTGTGGAGGGGGAGGTATTTGTGAATTTCTAGCCTTGTGCAGGGGGTTGGACTAGATGACCATGGAGGTCCCTTGCAACTCTATCATTCTATGATCTCTGTTATGACATTAATCTGAAAACTTAAGTAAGAAGTGACACTGCAGTGTTGAAGGACTTCTTTCATCCATTCTCCTGCCATTGTGCATTCAAGCGGCAGCAGGGGGTTTCCAACCACCAGGAAAGCTGACAGCTAGGAGTGTGGGGCACTTCTTACTTATAGTCAATGGTCCCCATAGGATATAATGGAGAATTGATCTGGTGCTATCTGGGGCCCTGAGGGGGGTATTTTTTGAGGTAGAGGCACCAAATTTGCAGCACTGCTGCTGGTGCCTCTCCTTAAAAAAACAACACCTCGCAAGTTTAAAAAAGATTGGACCAGGGGGTCAATTCTGTGATTCTTCCAAAGAAGGTGCCCCCATCCACCATTATTTCCAATGAAGGGGGGGAAAGGTGTGATCCTTTTAGATGCCTTTTGCAAGCTGCATCATGAGTGAACTCCAAAGTGGCAAGTTCACCCGGAAGGTGTTTAAAGGGCCAAAGGAAATACTGTCTCTTTAAATGCCTTTTGCAAGCCTAACTGCAAGTGAACTCTGAAGCGCTGAGTTCACCTGGAAGGTGTTTAAAGGAAGGCAATCTCTTTAAACACCAGCTATTTGGTGGCCCTGAAAAATCCTGAATATTTCTGGGATTTTTCAGGCTCGGCCATTTCGGATACCTTTAGACAATACTGAGCTTTATAGCTGGTTGAAAATATACCCAGAAAATACTGATAAGGTATTTTCTGGGAATTTTTTTTGGTATGGTACTGCTGAATGCACACTCCTACTGACAACCCTAGTAGCCAGTGCAGATCTTTCAGTACAACCCCTGTAACAGAGATGGGTGTCATCTGTATATTGTTGACACCTCACTCCAAATCCCCAAATGACTTCTCCTAGTGATTTCCCAGAAATTTTCCTGAGGATTCAGGTAAAAAGAGTATAGTTTTCCAAGTACAGCATTGAAGTCCAGTCACACTATAGAAATGTTTGAAGTAAAAGATACATATTATTTTGTTCATCCATGTGGTGTGGAACAGATATGAAATATTCTTTATGATGTACTCAGAAGGAACTGCTATGTGGTAAAAGCAACCAGACTTATCTAATACATTTAACCCAGCAATATGTATCGCTGTATCATTTCTATATCTTTGGTAACTATGGCTGCCATCCAGCAAGTTTTCTACTAGGATGACTGCCCCCCCCAGCTAGAAAAGAGATTTTAAAATATTTAATATAATGAAAGGAATTGGAGATGCCTGGTTAGTGCCTTTTGACAAGCAATTTGCTGTACTGCTGTACTGTACACTTAAGACATCTGTGGAGCTAGCCATGCAGCCAATCTTTACTTCCATTTTCAGCTCAGGCTTTTCTGTGTTCAGAAACAGCTTTTTGAAAACAGTTCAGCTAGGGTTAACATATTTTGAAAAGCAAAAAAGAGAACATATTTCCCAATTGACTTCAAACAAGTGATCACTATGACAAATCTCATTTTAAATATCCCTACTATTTAATCTGTGATAATCGCTATTAACTAGGAATATTCCTTTGGAGATAGCTCGAGATGGGTAACCATGTTAGTTTGCAGCAAGAGTTTAGTAGCACCTTAAAGACTAACAAACTTTGTGGCAGGGTATAACCTTTCATGAGTCACTTCTCACTTCTTCAAATACATGAAGTCCGCAGTGATTCACAAAAGCTCATACCCGGCCACAAAGTTTGTTAGTCTTTAAGGTGCTACTGGACTCTTGTTCTTTTCTAGGAATATTCCTAACCTTCCAACCCAAAAAAGGACATTTTTATCATTTTTTTTAAAGATCCCCAAAGAGGATGGACACACACAAAAAAGAGGACATGTCCTCTAAAAAGAGGACATCTGGTAACCCTAGTTCAGCTGTCTTTGGCTGCCTTTTTTGCTTCCCTTTCCCTCCTGGTATCTCCTCAGTTGGGGGGGGGATAAAAACTGGCAGACAATGCTGTGCACCTTGGATGATTAATATTTTTAGATAGCTTTCACTTTACCCGTTGACCCCTCAACTTTGCCTCTTGACACCCTTTGCCAGATTTGTATGTTTTAAAGGTTAGCAGCTCTACTGGCAACTATGGATGGAAGTTCTGTTGTCCAAAGAGGCTGAACTCATTACTCTCACTGCAAATATCAGAAACACAGAGATTACATTAATACTTTATAACCCAGGTTCACCGATTTACACCCTCAAATTATGCCATGGAATTGGATTTGTACTGAGATTCAGCACTATTGATTTCTCTTTATTTCCTTAATCTGTCAGTAGTTCAAAGAATTACACTGGATGCTCTGCAAGCATGCTCTCTTATATTTTTACATGCATAGCAAATAAAGTTGTAATAGGGAGTTTCATAGACACTTTTCTCTACAAACAAAGAATAAGTTTGATGAGGATGTTAATTGGATTTCAGATTAAATTTGAATACAATTTATGCTATTGCTTCTAGATAACGGTGTCATGTGCCTAAAAATAGATTAAGTAACATATCATGTACTCCTCCATTTATGTCAGAACACATTAAAAACCCTCTAAATTAAAATTACATTTTATGTAGGAAACTGCACAAAACTGCAGGCCGGTGTGGAAAGTTACTTAACAAAATTAATCAGGAAACGTGGAGCAGCGTATGCGAAGATTATAAAACCGTTTTTTAAAATATTTAAGGAATAATCTAAAATGAAGCCTTGGAACTTCAAATGATAAGTTTAAGGTTCTAGGTACTACGTTAGTGTCCTAGCACACAATGAAGAAGCAACCTCCTTTCCAGAAATTTTGTGTTGCAAAATAAAACAAGCTAAAATAAAATAATTAAAGTTCGTAACAATTAAAAACCCAGTCAGAACATAAGAGCAGCATAAAACATTGAACAGTTTAATAAGAATATACTAACACTTTTCTGGCTAGAATCGGACTATAAAAATAATGTTAAAAGATCAACCCATTAATTAAAAGTCTGGGTGAAAAGTTTTGACCTGGCAGCTAAGAGGCTAAGGGTAGACACTAGGCGAACTTCAATCTAATCTAAATGACTGAGCCCTAGATACAAATTCCTGGGTGTTATTTCTCAGTTAAAGAATGTCTAATTGGTATAAACACTATTTTAAAAACCTGTTAAGCTGCTGTTGAACTCTTTCCATATCATCTAATTTTGGGGCTGCCAACCCAGCACTGGCACCCAGACAAAGAGTGCAAGGGCTGGGAGCTACCTTATTGGCACTGTGCTGGTGCCGTGATATCACTTCTCACACAAAGTGGAAGTTATCTCATTGTGTTGGCATGACATTCTAGGATTCACCAAAAACTGGTGTAACACTGAATCACTCCCCCATGCCCTCACCACTGCCCTCTGAAGTGGCAACAGGGAACGGGGGCCCAGGGCAGGAGGTCTCTTGCAATAACAAGAGACCTGGCCACCCTACTTGATTTACACAGATAGACCAAAATATGGCAGCCTGATTATTTGGGGAGAGACAATTATATTAGAAGTCTGATCATTGCCACAGAGATAGAGCCACGTGTGCCACAGAGATAGAGCAACCTAGTGATGCCTTATAAAGATGCAGTAATATTCCTCATTCTTCCTCATATCCGTAATAAACCGAGTTTTGTGCACA